CAGCGTGATGTTGTGAACCGACTTATTGAAGAGGCTAAAGTTAGCCATTTAAAACAGCAATTGCAAAATGCCACTAGTCAAAAAGAGGTATTCAGTGTTTCTAACACCTTGTTCTTCAAGAGGAAGCAGAGTGCTCTCCCCTCTCATACATCACCAGACAAGCTAGCGATACCTTCTGTGCCTTCTTCAGTTCAAAGATTCTCGAGATTCGATCTGAACTGGAGGTACCAACAGCCAACATGTCGTCTACAAATGAGACATTATTGACTACCACCCAAACACGCTGTCATCCTTCTACCACACTACCGACTTGGAAATTGAGAAGTTTCTTAAACGAAGTTCAACAAAATCGCGCTCTTCTGATCCGATTCCCATTTGGCTGCTGAAACTGTGCGTCAATGATATCACACCAGTGCTCACAAAGAAGGTCAATCAATCAATGTCAACTGGCTGCCAATTCCCCAAATCTCTCAAAGAAGCACTAGTCACACAAAGCGAGTCTGGATGCTGATGTTTTACGGAACTACCGTCCAGTCTCTAACCTTCCGTTTCTCTCTAAGCTGGTTGAACGAGTAGTCTCAGCTACACTTCAGGACCACATGAAAGCCAACAACTTAGATGAAGTCATGCAATCAGCATACAAGGGTGGACACAGCACTGAGTCGGCCCTGTTGCGCGTCCAGAACGACCTTCTTACTGAAGTTGATACTACGGGTGCTGCTGTGCTGGTCCTGCTGTACCTGTTCTTGAAAACGTCATTGGAATCAAAGGTAACGCTCTGGCATGGTTCAAGGCGTACTTAACTGACCGGTGCCAAACAGTTGTCATCAATGGTTCAACATCAAGTAAGCATCACCTTAAATATGGAATTCCTCAGGGATCAGTCCTAGGGCCCGTATTGTTCACAATCTATACTCTTATTCTTGGAGAAATAGCCAGAAGACATGACCTATCTTTTTACTTGTATGCGGATGATACACAGTTGTATCTCAACTTTAGGCCACTGGTGTCAACATCAGTGACGAATGCCTTTGATTGCATGTCATCATGCATACAGGATATCAAGCTATGGATGTCGAATCGTTTTCTGAAACTCAATGATGACAAAACGGAACTCACGATCATCAGTTCCAGACAAATGCTCTCCAAGATGTCAACACCATCCCTTCACATTGGAGAATTTTTTATCAGGCCATCTATTGAAGCCAGAAACTTAGGTTTCATCTTTCAGGCAACACTAGGGACCGAACATCATACGAATACAGTATGCAAGGTTGCTTACTACCACCTGCGAAATATCAGTCAAATCAAGCGGTATGTTGGCATTGCGGCAACCAAGACACTTATCCATGCATTCGTGGCATCTCGGCTGGAATGCACTGCTGTATGGGTCGTACCACCTTTGCCTGAGCAAACTTCAGAAGGTACAGAACTCAGCTGCAAGATGTATAAGTGGAACACGCAAACACGAACATATTACGCCAATCTTATACGACCTTCACTGGCTTCCAATTCACCATCGGATTGTTTACAAATTACTGATGTTCGTGTTTAAAGCTCTTCACAGTCTAGACCCTCTGTATCTGGAACAGCTTTTAACCAGATTCCAACCTCAGAGAACGCTGCGGTCAGCTTCACTGCAACAACTAAATGTCCCCCAAACAAGAACAACACTCTACGGTGACAGGAGTTTTGCCAAAGCAGGCCTTGCACTCTGGAATGAACTCCCGCTAAATATCCAGCAAATCCATGACATATTCAAGTGAACTGAAGACCCTCCTGTTCAAAAGAACCTATGACCTGCGCCTTTGAGCAAATTTTGGATTTAGGCGCACTACAAATATGAACTCTATTATATAAAAAAAAAACCAGAAAAATCACTATTAAACACGTGGAAAACATACTTGCCTGCCCTATTTTACCCTTTAATATCTAAAAAAATAGTTAGTAGTAAACATTTTTTATAAAATACTTTGTCAATTTTTTTAAATATTACGTAGATACTTCCAACAGTACGAATGGGAAAATATTAATTTGATGGCCAATCGATGTACTCAAGGCGTTAATCTATAATGGTTTCAGTACAAGATAAGTCACAATATTTTGACAACTAATAATCACTTGCATAAGGTTGGATACATTGGTTCACTGTGTGTTCGTTTTGAAAGACCACCTCCGTGGTGTAGTGGTTAAAGCGTCCGCCCGGAGAGCGGAAGGTCGCGGGTTCGATCCCCGACTGCGTCATACCAAAAGACGTTAAAATATGGTACTTGTTGGTCCCTGCCTGGCGCTCGGCATTAATGGGTACACCAAGGACTGGTCGGCTCGGAGTGGGGTATTCATGCTTCACTGCGGCATGGTATCTCAGTGAGCTGGCACTATAAAAAAGTCTGGGCAAGTACAAGCAGCCGCAGATACACATACACGCATGCACGTCGTCATATGAGCGAAATATTGTCAAGCACGACGTTAAGCCCAATTTTACCTCACCTCACCTCGTTTTGTAAACTGGTGCATGAGCGTGTTATACATTTGTTATGTGATTTTACTCATTCAAGCAAAGTGTCGACAGATTTGGCTACGTGGTTAGGAAAGTTGGCTGAAGGATACATTGATTTAACACCAGAAATTATTATTTTTGGTTTCAAGGGGGGAAATATTAATCCACTGAATGCCATCTGTCTGATGGTGAAACAAAATATGTACAATATGAGCAGAAAAGGGATTTTTTTTGGAGCATCCAAAAAGAAATACTAAGTTACTATCAGTCATGCATATTTATTGCTTTTACAAACAATAATCAGTCCAAATAAATTTTCGCATTTTGGTCCTCTTTCCATACACTATTTTTAGATTTGTGAGCTCAAAAGTCAGTTATAAACTTCAAAGAGTATACTGTAATTTTAAAACGACATGCCTTGCAGGTTATAAGATACAGTCAAACCTGCACTTCGCCGTTTTTTCATATACTACATGAACAATACTGGAACAATCTGATGGGAAATAATGGGTAATGTAAAATGGCTTATACCTTGCATGTCACCAAATGCTGTCAAACCTGCACTAGTCGTATTTCATATACAATATGAAATAATACTATGCATCTACGCATATTATGTATATGTAAACATCTACTGAGAAATAGCGGGTAATGTAAAATTGACTTAGGCCCTATGGCTATAAGATATAGTCAAACCTGTAATAGCTGTGCTTCATATGAGCACTAATTATTACATATCTATTCACTTATGTACATGTTAACATCTACGCAATTATGTGCCATGTAAACATCTACTGGGAAATACAAACTTAACAAGAACAGCTTGAACAAAAAACATGTACTTGGTGGAAAAGAAAATATTTCTCTGAGATGTCAGAGGGATGACGCCTCTAGCACTGCCCTCAATAAAGGAAACTTTTTGGCCCTTTTGACACTCATGGCGGAATCAAATGACATTCTGCACAATCACCTGCAAAGCTGCAAAAGGAATGCAACCTACACATCTACAAAGACCATTCAGAATGAGATAATTTCCATCATTTGTGAATGCATTCGGACAAAAACAACAGAATGTTTACGTAAACAATGAGCCGTGTACTCTGTCATAGCTGATAAAGTAACGGGCAAAACGTCTAACAAGGAAGTGCATAGTGTATGCCTCCGGTTTGTTGATGTTCAAAATAAACCAGAAATCTGGGAAATCATTCTGGATAACTTATCATTTTAAAGAACAACTGGTGAGCATCAACTGCCTACAGTCACATGGCCTTGATGTTACCAATATTAAGTGAGTGAGTTGAAATTTTACATCGCATCGGCAATATTACAGCCATATAGCGATGAAAACAAGGTAATCATTTTAAAATATCTGTCGACAAAGGACAGGAAAATCAACAAGACTATCACAGATATATATATTTAAAAGTAGTAATTAAATCTAAAATATTTTAACTATAGAGGACGATACAGTATAAAAACAGCCTACAGATCGCCAACAGCTGAAGGTAGATCACCATACATGGGGACCTACAGTACAATTGCTTCCTGCATGGACCCTAGTTGGATTTACACCATCCTTTCAGCCGCTGGCGATTGTAGGATATATTTAGCCGAATTTTAAAAGAACAAAAACACTACATATACAGGCTGGTAAGCTTAAATTTAACTTTGAAAGTTCAAACCATTGTTTACGAATATGTGGAATTGCAGAGGACTGTGGAATTGCTTTGTCAGCAATGTCATTTAGTATATCCGAAAAAGGCTCTATAGGATCTTCATTTTTCCTACAAAGATCGTGCTTCAAGTGTTCAACACACAGTTTCTCATATAATAACCAATCAGACCTGGCGAAGTTCCTTCTTGACAATGGTGGATCATCACAAGGGTTGATTGTTTTGAGAATGGTGGGGAAGTGATCACTCCCACATAAGTCATCATGGACCATCCATTCAAATTCATCATATATGTTGGAATCGGCGAGTGATGGATCCAGGGAAGAATATGTTCCCGTAGCTGGATGTAAATAGGTGGCTGAATCGTCATTGAAAATACATAAATTATTATCGGAAAAAAATTCCCCAAAGAGTTTACCTTTATTAGTAGTATGGACACTTCCCCAAAGGAGTAGTAATCACTGTACCGTCTCAAATTAAAATTATCTGTATCTTTTAGGTACGTCTCTTGCAGACATAACGCTGACGGTGTAAAATCTTGTATCAATAAGTGGATCTCATTGAATTTATTCTGCAATCCTCTGCAATTCCATTGCAATAAATTCGATAATTTAATCATGGTGGCTCAAAGGGCGACCGTTCACGTGAATGCGAGGAGGATAAGCTCCCTTGCCATTCTTGTGAGGACAGATTGACTTCCAGATCTAGAGGTCCAAATGAATTTTGGAGGGGAACCTCCGAAGGTGAAGTGAGCGTAGGTTGGGATATATTCAATTCTTTTCCTTTCTTCTTTTTGGACATTCTCTTCCCACAGAGGTTACTCCTGTCATATCTCCCTACGTAACCTCTGTTCTAATACGGCCATATTTCCCGGTCCTCGTAAAATCCCCTAGCGGCAAAAAATCGCAACACGAATTATCTCCCTTCTTTCTCTCCAATCAGAACACGCGTTAAATAGACTTAGATCCAATATGGCGGCCTCCATGGAGTTAGTTGATCAACGTGCGAAGGAAAGATTCGGTATTTCATGTTTAACTGAAAATCAGAAACTAGCAATAGAGAGTGCAGGAATCAATGGACAAGATGTGTTTGTCGGGACTAAAACTGGTAGTGGCAAGTCCCTAACTTACGAGATTCTCCCATGTATCACTGAAGCCAAAACGATCATCGCCATCATTTTAGGTATTTCGGGTACTCACCGCGCAGCTGTCACTGACTTGAATGACAGATTTATCGTGACGTCATTTAATGATATGGATATCCTCGCCACGAGGAAATTGCTTTCGATCGACCGCTTGTATTATATTGAGATTTTTCATGTATGATGTACACCTCGTGCTGCCGTAATTAATAAATAGATCTTGTGACACCACCCTCCTTGCATCGTCGTATTGCGAAGCGAGTGCTCATCAAGACATCAGTCATCGAATCGAGGGTACGGGTAAATTTTACATCTTTCAAAGTTTATGATTGTTTCTAAGATCATATTTGTATGATACCAATGAATGGAATCTGCATAGCGAAGCTATAACACTGTAGACTTTATAGATGAAAGCAAAGCATTGTGGGATAGGGAGAAATCATTGTTGTTGTTTTTCAAAGGGAAGTAATCGTAGCCTAATGCATATGAAGCGTTATAAAATCGCATTTGCTGTAATTATCTCGTGAACGATATTGATGAAAATATATATATAATAGGTGTACGTATTGATATTGTAATATGGACGAACAGTATCTATGCTTATGTGCATGGTTAATTTTAGTACACGTTAAATTCTGACTAACAGGTTGGAATGAAAAACTGACGTAGACAAATGATTTTATACACATCGCTGCAGAAAAACTTACGCAAATATTTATTATAAATTGTACACAAATTGAACGTTATGTTATGTGGTTGTACTTTTAAGTATAAACAATAGTTTATTGACCAATATCAATGTATGAGATGTGAACGACGGGTGCTACCGGTAGGACAGGACACGTTCATTCTGTTGGCGAACACCTGGTGTCATCACTGTACTCCAGTGATTCATGCACAATTTCCAACAGGAATTGGTACAGAATGTGGAATGATATATCTTTCTACCTTAGTCATATGTTAAAGTGGTGAATGATTTTAGTGTTGTTTTTCTATATAGCGTGGCTATTCATCATTATTTTGTAAGTTTTAAATATATAACAATATAATTACGCTATGACATGTCCACCATGAATATAACAATACATATATGTATAAAGGTTTACTATCGTTTGTCTCATAGCAATTATGGAGAAAGACTTTCTGAAAGAAGCTGGTCTGCAAACATTTGCAGAGACACATGACCCCAAATCTTATTCCACCTGTCGATGTGGGATTAATTACTGTGGGGTTAGTCCTCCAACTATTTAAGTTAAAACCTACATGGAACACCTTCAACAGCTGGCTTACCAAACTGTTCAACTACAAAGAACCTGTGTGGACAAGCAGGAAACTAAATACAAAAATAAAGCAACTAGACACCAAGAGAAGGACTTTTCTGAAGAGCAAGACACCTGCACAACAAATTAAATTGACGCAGTTTCTGCAACAGCCATTTGATATGACAAACAAAGAGAGGACAAGACCACCCAATACTGCCCTAGTCCAACCCAGCCCAGATGCTAATACCCCTTTACCCCCACCAGGACCTCCGCCCGGATTTCATATGCCTCAGTTCCCCATAACACTCAACCCAACTACCTATATTTTACCATCCCCTGGCTTTCATATGTTACCCCATGTTCCTAAACCCTGGCCCACCAACCCATTTCATCTTCAGTCTTTTAGTTCTACTTCCCAATTGTCAAATGAAATATCTCCCACCTTAACACCTTTGCCTTCTGTTAAATCCCACCCCGATACCAATAACAATAATGTACCCCCAGCGACAGTCTCTACGTCTTCTGGTCCCACTCCCATTTCCGATCCTCTCCTACCCGGTCTTGTATCTTCTCCCGCTACAACCATTTCCACTCACAACCCCAGCACCGATTCCAATTCCAATTCTCACCAATCTTATGTCTCTCAAGGTTCACAATCATCCAAGGAGTATATAAAGTTACAATCACAAAACAGGAAATACGCTAAGAAAGTGAAAGAACAGAAACATATGCTGCATCAACTACAGAAACAAAAAGATAAACGCTCTTCCCACGTAACATCAAAACGTTTTATTAATGCTCATGTTCAGACACAGACACAGAATGACTGCAAGAAGTGTGACGAGTTACAAATGGACATCGATAAGCTGATAACAGAAGTTGAATCGAGACCCCCATTGGAACCTTCCGGTACCAAATGTAACTCTAAATTAACAGACATTGACTTAATGAAAGAGAAGGCTTACAGTGACGAGACGGTTAAATGTGTGTTACATCTTTTGGCTGAAAATGTAGGTTATTCACACGTAGGGCCTGTTATCAAAGCCGTTCTTAATTTAGTTGGGCTTCAACCCAAGGCCCTCCCATCAGTAGCTACGGTAGCTGAAATGGCGAAAAAGAGAGCGCCATTAAACAGCATGTTTGTTGCACATCAACTTTCGGAAACGATGGACACGACACTTTACAGTGATGAGACTTCCAAATTTGGGCAGAGGGTTCAAAATTATATCGTGACTGACGCTGACGACAATACCATTTTGATAGGTATGAGAGAAATGGCTGATAAGTCGGCCAATTCCGTTCTTTCGACTCTCAAAGAAATATTGTCGGATTTGGACAGTGTAACTGACGTGACTAACACTGGTAAAAAGATAGTAACCAGTATCAAAAATACCATGTCAGATCGTGCAGCAACAGAAAAATCCTTTAACTCTCTGTTGAAGCATTACCGAACGGCGCTTCTTTCGGAAATCATACCGGGGTGGCATGTCCTGTCCAAACGTGAGCAAGAGTCTCTGGGCAACATGCACAATTTTTATTGTGGTCTTCACCTTTTGGTCAACCTTGCCGACCAAAGTGCGTCCACTCTCAGCCAGTACGAGGCTAAGATTGCTAAATCATCCCGGTCGGAAAGTGAAGTTGTAAATTTGATTAGGATGTGCTGCAAGGCGTTTTCACGAGGAGGGGATGAAAAAAGCGGTTGCTACGAACTTATGACACTATTCTTAGAATCAAGGGGGGTAAACAATAAATTAACAAATTTCCGTGGCAACCGTTTCAATATCCTGTTCCACAATGCCGCGGTGGTCTATTATTTACATAAGCATTTTGTATCTTTCTTTGATACTGTAAATGCAGGCTCTAATCTCCTTTTGGCTTCCATCAAACAATCACTACACAATAGTTTAAATTTAGCAGGATGTCGAGCTTTAGGCCTGATTTCCAAATTTATCACTACCCCTCTGTGGAATATTTTGGAGGGGCGTGATCATAGCGTGCTGGACATGAGTCGCATCTACACAACACTCATACACAACATGCAAACTCTCAACTACACGCAGTTTATTTTAGGGCAATGCAATTTATTCATGGCAAACAATGACAGAGACTCTGATTCAGGTAACAAAAGACAGACGGCTGACAATGACGACGGTGGTCCTGACGATACTACTGTTCCCAAACAGACAGATGACGTGGTAGTGACTGAACTGACAAAAAGTGGGGACAGTGACGCCGACACTGAACACATTCTGGAATTTTTAATTCCAGATTTGACGACCCTACTACAACGACTTCTGACAGACCAACTCCCTGGCGGCGAGCACGCTGCAAACACAAACCTCACCCATCCCGAATGTAAATCTGTAATCAAGCATAATAAGCTCCCCGAAACTGTTTTTGCCCAATTAGATTATTTACAGCATACCAAACCCTCTTCCTCTATTTTCTCCCAAGAGGCCCATATCATGTTTAATTTTAATAAAGTAAGCAGCTGGATCAGTGCTATGTCCGACCAGGAATGGACCACCGTCCTCGGTCACGCATCAAAATTGTACCAAACTACATATGCAAATTTTATTACATGCAAAAATGACATTAAGCAAGCCAAACACGAAAAACTCAGACAAACACAAGAACAAATGGAAAAGAAAAAACAAAAGAAATTAAAGAGAACATGCACAACTTATCCAAGAAATATCCTTTGAAGGTCTTTGGCAAAGCGTGGCCGAGGTAGACAACCGACTTCATCATGTATATTCAAAAACATCCAAAACACAGAAGATGAACATAATAAAAAAACAGCTAAAATTCCGCAAGTTAGTGTTAAAACAAGATGCACCTCCTGAACTGTTCACTTTTTCTAAATCCTCTAAACCTCTCTCTATTAACCAATTATCTAGTAATTTGAAAAACCTCATACAACTTAATCTTGCACTTGAAACACCGGTGCCAAATGAGGGTCAATTTCTGGTGGGGCAAAAAGTAAGTCATTTATTTAATTTAGAAAACGGGGAACAGAAGTTTTACGTGGGAATGGTACTAGGGCAAGTTACTGGCTATCCATCGTGGTTCAACGTAAAATATGACAGCGACAATACAATCTATACCTTTGAACTTTTAGACGATTATGCAGCCGGGGACTTACAGATTATTCATCTATAGCAGTATCACAGTAAGATATCATGAAATATTCAGTAAACATCGTGTGTTTCAAATATATATTCATTCTGTTCCCCAAATCACCAAGGATTTTAAGAGCGCTTCAAGTCTCTTGATTTTTTAATTTTACTTACATCAGCCACGAAAATCACTATAAAACGTTAAAAATGTAATGTATCATAATAATGTGAATGTGATAACTATTTTTACATATTTCATTAACGAATTCTTCAGCAAAACGCTCGTTATAAGCTTCATACATATTTATCGTATATATAATGACTGCTCCCTGTGAGCCAAGGGTGGGTAACTCTGATATGCTAACCACGCTCATTTCAATATGCAGAGTGAGGTCAGCCTAGCAAGGAGGTGGAACGTGTCGGGTCGCGGGCGGTCCTTCGAAACCATCAACACAGATAACGGTAAACACTTTCGAAGCATATAAAACAAAATTGACTGTATAACCCTCGACACACAAAAGGTTTTCATTCTAATTAAACCACGATCTACACAAATATATATTTGGGGTATTTTTTAATTTTTTTTCAGATTTCAACCCGAAATACCTACATTTCTCCAGTGGTACGTATTTTGTAACTATTTCGTAAATCGACTCATAAAAGAATTTCTAGTTGTTATTAACAATTTGGGTTTAATTCTATTGAATTTAAAGTACACATTTTAAGTAACGTCAAATGTTTTGAATCACTGAAATCTTACTTTTCATTTAAAAGTAAATTGTAAATACGCTTAAAATATAATATGAAATATAATCCTCGAGAATTCGGGAGCACAGTACAAATGAAACAAGTAGCAAACATTACCAACTTAGTTACAAAGTTTAGGCCTGTAAAATACTCACTAATTAAAATGGCAAATTGATAATTAATGACGCTGAATACATTTCACCATACATCATGTATAGGTTAATGTCCAAGTAACTCTCCATTCAATAAAAATAATGGAGCTGAGGCATAGTTTTTAAGGAATGGAGAGCTCCGAGCACATTAACCTACTTTAAATTACACTCAAACTATTCTTAGGATAACATAACAAGTATCAGTGTAATTTAATCTTGTAAAATACAAAATTTCATTTGTGTTCCATTTATTTCCTAATAGGGGTGAGAAGACGACTGGAGATGAACCTTTCAGGAAGTGGTTTTCCAAGATCGGAGAACTCCGATCACTGTGCCCTCAAGCAAACATCGTAGCTCTCACTGCGACCGCTGGCCCAACACAGAGGAGATCAATAATGAAGCAACTTTCCTTCAGAATGGGCAACTATGTCACCATATTGGATTCGCCAGACAGGAAAAATATCAAGATCACGTCAAAAATTTTGCCTAACCAATCTGATGCTTCAGAAAACTTAGGATGGCTAATCGACATGCTTCAAAATCATAAACAAGGGTCCTCACGATTCGTCATCTTTTGTAGGACAATTGCTGAATGTTCAAAAGTGTACTTTGCTTTTGCTCAAGTCCTTGGAAGGCAGTCAGGACTTTTTGACATGTACCACAGCAAGACAAAAGATGCTGTCAAGCAGGACATTCGTTCTAAAATGACCCAAGACAGTAATCTGTGTGTGTTGATTTGTACGAATGCAGCTGGAATGGGTGTCAACTTTCACAATGTGAATCATGTTATTCACTATGGGCTGCCCTTTGAGCTGGATACTTTTGTTCAGCAAATGGGATGAGCAGGGCGTGATGGAACACCAGCTCATGAGCTTGTTCTGTACAAAGCCCATAAAGGCCAGCTCAAAAAGGTAGAAAGTGAACTTCTTAAAGCTGTCAAGAAAACATCTTGTCGACACAAAATGATTTGTAAATCCTACTGCAGCAAGCACGAGGTCATCATGCCGAAGCATCGGTGCTGCGACGTCTGTGCTCGCACCTGTGACTGTGATCTTGAAGAATGTCCAGATAACCATGTGATGTTGAACTATGCATATGACACACAAGAGGATGACTTATCGGGCATGTTTCAGAGAGAAGTGAAAGATGATCAGCGAGAGTTACTCAGGCATAAACTGAACTCTTACATGTTCAAACTGTATTCAACAAGCACAATAGTTAACCCAGATATTGTATTTGGCATCAATGAGGATGTCATCAGCGCAATCGTGGACAAATCTGGACACCTGCTTTCAATCGATGACATCATCAAAGACCTTCCTATTTGGTCCTACAACTGTGCAAGAGAAATCGGCAAAATACTAAATGAAGTGTTTGATGATATGGATATTTCAAGTGAACAAAGTTCAAGTGATTCAGATGATTCAGACTGACTTCCTATTGGACTCAATTCTTACACCACAAAACATTCATGCTATCAGACCAGATCTGTGCATCATGTGGTGACATGTTTAGTCCTTTTGCAACAGCCAGAAGTAGTTTCACTCCCAGAACAGCAGCCATTAACTCAAGTCGTGGAACGCTGACAGTCTTGATTGGAGCAACATGGATTTTTGATGCAACAAGCTGACTACCTATTCTATCTTCATGACCACTCACCAGGTATATCACAGCGCCAAACGCATCTTGTGATGCATCTACAAACACATGCAGACATGGAATGGCTATCTCTGAGCTAAATTCTATCCACCTTGGGAAACTTAACGACTTCAAATCTGCCAATTCCACATACCACTGAAATGCATTTTCTTCTAATTCAGGATGCATCTTTTCAACCAATCCTACACCAGACAACCAAATATGTTGCAAAATAATCTTTGCCCTAATTGTAAATGGAGCTAGAAGCCCTAGAGGGTCAAATATCTTTGCAATTTCTCTCAAGAAAGCTCTCTTCGACATGTGGAAGTGATCATTTGGAAGTTTGTAGCAGAACTGAAACTTATCATTTTCTGCGTTCCAAAGTAACCCAAGAGCTTTCACAGATGGCAGCTCAGACATCTGGATATTAATTTCAGATAGTCTATCTGCTACTGGAATACATTCAAGTACCTTCAATGAATTGGAGACCAACTTCCTGGCATGCATTCCAGCTGTTGTCCACAGCTCATTTATTTGATCATAAAGCTTTAGCGCTTTGTCTTCTGTCTCAACAGAATCCATTGTGTCATCCATGTATGTTGATTTAGCAACTGTTTCTGCTGCCAAAGGAAGGTGACTCTCACATGCCTTAGCATGTTCCTGTGTAACATACGGTGCTAGAAAGGGCGAACAATTCATTCCAAAGACTACCCGTGGAAATTCATATACATCTGGTTCTTTCTCCACATTCATGGACCTCCAAAGAAATCTGAAGAAAGGCTGATCACCTTTAGGAATCTGAATTTGTAAGGCACATTTCTGCAATGTCACATATGATCGCAAATTGATGTTTTCTAAATCTTAGCAGTATTTCAACCAGATTATTCTGCAGTTTTGGACCTTGTTGCACAACATCATTTAAAGACACATTATCACATTTAGCTGATGCATCGAAAACCATCTGTACCTTTGTTGTATTTCTGTCAGGCCGAACAACAGGAAAATGTGGTAAGTACCAGGATTTGTTCTTGATTACTTTTTCAGGCACCTTTTTTTTGTATCCCTTTTTCTCCTACTGTGATATCACATCCTCATAAGCTGTTTTAATTGTCACATCTTTTGATAACTTTTTCTCAATTTGTTTCAGGCGATTGAAAGCAATATCATAATTACTTTCAGGAAGTTTTGAACCTTCCTTCCATGGAACACCAACAGTGTACCTCTCTGAATCATGGGTAAGTGATTCTTTTACAGCATTCACAGCCATTTCCTCATCTCTTGTCATCATAGGTTTGGATCCTGATATGGATTCAACCTCCCAAAACCTATCTACCAATGCCTCAAGTTCTTTGTCATCACTTGTTGTTTTAGCATTGTGAATAAAGAATGAGCCTGTCACTTGTGTGTTATCTATTTCTGAATCATGCACTTTACCAATGCACGTCCAACCCAGTGGTGTTAACCTTGCTATTGGATCACCAGGCTGACCACAAACATCTTTTAGAGAACAATGGAGTTCCAAATAATCCATGCCAATCAATATGTCTACAATTGGCCTGGAGCTCAATTTTGGAAACTCAATGTCACGTAAGTGGTTCCAGTCATGTGCATGTCTTTGCCAGTCAAGGACCTTCATCATCCCTGTCACCTTTGTTGTAGTTAGTGCGGATATTGCCATGTCCACCGAGCCATCAACACTTTCTAAACCTACTTCAACAGCCATGCTATTGAAGGTCTCCTGCTTGCTGTTCAGAACATTAACAGATACTGTCTGTTTTTGACCCTGTACCCCTAACTCCGATACTACGTCTTCATTGATGTAGGTTTGGGTGCTAGCATCATCAAGAAGAGCATTGACCTTTATTCTACGCAACCCATTCTTTAGAATAACTGGAACTGTTCTGAGTGAAGAAAAATAATATTCCTTTCTTGTTGTTGACATTGTTGTTTGTTTGTTTGTTCTCCGTTTTATGTTCTTCAGAGTTGTTACTTTGTTCACATAATTCTTTTGTCTGTGTTTTACCCAGTTACTGTCGTAACAATCTGTTGTGTGTCGACCGACATCCGTCAATACCACATGGGATATTTGTGTAGCATAGTTTCCCAACATGACGCACTCCTAAGCATCGAAAGCACAATTTCAATTCTTTAGCTTTAGCCCATCGATTCTGGCTATCTAAATCCCTGAAGCGTGTACAGGTTCCTATTTGATGACCCTTCTCATGACAGAAGTTACAGAACTGTACCTGTGACCTTCCAAAGAACGACCCTGACTTTTGATTGTACTTATGTTCCTTCTCCTAGTCTTTTCAATGATACCTAGTTTTACCTCAGATGCAACTGTTTGAAATTCAGATTCTTTAAGAACCCATTCTCTTAAAGATTCTACTGATTCCTGATGTTGATTTCAAACAACCATCTTTGATAATTTGTTATCATTGACTCTGTAATATTTTTCTCAACAATTGGGAATACAGACACCCGTCACCCAATTCTTTCTATTTTATCAGTTTCTCTGAGACTGACAACAGTGATGTCTAAAAGGTTCAGAAGTTCTCCAGGTCCTTGGCGTTCCCTGGACGAATCGGTCGGAAGTTATAAACTTCCTCCATTTTCAAAGCGATTTGCCTCTCTTACCCCATATTTTCGCTCCAGTCGTTCTAAAGCTACATCATAAGCTGCTGCAGTGTGTCCTAGCCTTGAAATGACATCAGAAGCCTCCAGCTACGTATTGTTTCAGTTGTAACAACTTGTATTCATTAGTAGCATCGGCTCTGTCTACACATGCAATGAAGGCTGCTTTCCAGCTTTCATATTCTTTGATGTTGCCATGAAACACAGGAATTGAAACCCGTTTCAGCTTAGTCCACATATCTGCACCTATTTTGCTGTCATCATGTGATGTTGTATTGATTCAATAAAAGATTTCATTTTAGGGCCAGATTTTTTGTCTATCTGCTCAAATGTCAATTGTTTTTAACTCTTTCTATTTCAGATGCTGCTACTTCCTGATTAATTCTCATACTAGTATCATCTCTCTGATCTACAGAAGGAATACCTTGTTTATTAGCTTCATGAACACCTGTAGCGTCATGTGTAACAGGGATGTGTTTCGTAGTGTCATTTGTGTGAAACAGCCTTGACAGTCCTGGGGCGGTATTCTATAAAAGTCTAATTATTAGATTGGTGAATCGTTTGATTGCATTTGATATCTTACAGTGGATTTTTATTGTCCCCCAGAGAGGGGACCTAATAAAATATGGCAGGCAGGTATCCGGTAAACGCATGTGTACCCAAACAACTGTGTTTAAATAAAGTATCTTGCAGTTGGAATTATCCAGAAGATAACTTAATGTGCAATGAAAATCTAGGTGTAATTCTAAAAACAATGATGATTATATCCACACTTTGATTGATACCAATAGCTCTGAATAGGTAAGTTCTCTCACAAATGTATTCTGTAATATAAGCTTGATTAATATATTATTACAACCCCATTTTAGCATTTGGTTATGGTGCAGCATGTTCAGTTAAACATAACATCCACATGCTTAAAGGTCACATGCAACCAAAAAATCAAACATAATTATCACTTCTTCATGACATATAATATGCATTGCTGATTATAAAAAAACAAATAAACAAAATTATAAGCGTATAATCGCAGATCAAAAGTGCAATATTTTGTACTTGGGTTTACCTCCCTCGAAACGAAGCATCCGGGATACCGAACCCAGTCAGAGCGGGTGGGTGCACTCAAAGGCGTAACGGCTGGTTCATTAGCAGATGCCGCCTTCACAGCTCATTGTGTGTGTATATATAGAGATGTTGGGTTTTGTAAATACATGCTCATTTTTTGTGTATAACATTTTGCAATCAACAGACATCATAACATGTCATGTGTTCAAGTATCACACCTGCCTGTCTGTGTAATTACATAATGTGACAGAGACCAAACTCGGGCCATAAATCAATGCGTTTGGTTTATGGTGTATAGCCTGATTGGTGTTTAGTTCAAATTGCATGTGGTCAGTGATCGCAGTTGTGTATTGATTATTGTCATTAGCAGACAGGCAGGCAGACACACAGGTGTCAATAAAACAAGACATTGAGTTTTGTCTGTGACAACGACATATCTATATCACAGTTAGAAATTGTGTCAACGCTAAATAATGACATTGCTTTTAAGTATCTAACTGAGAAAGTGACTCGGTAAGAAGAACGTGTGGTGAAATAGACAAATGAAATTATATAAACAGTTTATTTACTGTCATAACATATAAAAAGCTCGCGCCTGTGAGATATCAACAAAACATTATAAAATGGCTCACACCAAAGCCTTCACCGAGTATTCACCAGACAGCCCGCTTCCAAGTTGCGCAAACATATTTCACTGCGCACGTGCTATGAGCGCAGTCCAGCTGTTGAAACCCGTATTCCCCAGAAAAGTCTGGGGAAAATTAGTGAAACGTTTGAACTCCGATTTCGCGCGGTTTTTTTCATCGCGTTATTTTTCAACTTTATAAGTTGAATTTGTATTTTTGACGCTTTGTTTCGGTAAGTCCATACCGAAAGGTATCAGAATCTGCAAAGTTGTGTTTTACGTTGCATGTGACCTTTAATTTATCAGTAATATTTTGATGTCGACATTGTAAGGAACTGTTTACATTATAATAAGTATATCATACTTGGTCTCACGTGTGTTATGTATTTTTTTCAGTTGGAACAGATGCACATCTTTAAGAGGAGAAAGAAGGAGGAATAGATTTCTTTATCACCACAATTACCATTGACATCAAGAGCAACACAAAC